TTGTAACTTGTAGGATCAGTGCCTAATAGTAGTTTCTGAAAGCCAAAGAGCTGATGAGCTTAGACTCTTGTACCATCTTTTATCTCATTTGGTGAACACTCAGCACCTGCATGCAGCTTCTGTCAGTAGCATAAACAGCTTTTTGCTGCTTTGCTAGGTCATTAATGGCATGCCGGGATTCTTGACATTCCTGCTTCCCTCCTTGTGGTTTTGAACCTGCATCAGGACATCAGCAGTCAGTAATTGTCTCCTCAGCACTTTGGCTTGCTCATTGTCATTTGACAAAACAAACCATCACTGATAGGAAGAGAGTTCAAAGGCCAAAGTACTTCAGCTGAGAAGTGTTTAGGAAACTGTGATAGGTTTACACTGCAAGTGCAAGTAGGGCTGGCACAGAAACCTTAGGGTGTAAAAGCATGAAGGAAGTGGGTTGTTTGTTTGGTTTTTTATTTGGAAGGCGGGAAAAATTCTTCCCCTTGCCTCCATAAATTGCTACTCCAGGAACTACTTTTCCCCAGAGAACTGTGGCTAGGTAAAGCTTGGTAAGGAATTGAAAAAGGGTCTTGGAGATGTATAAATGAGACACATATATTGAAACATGAATTAGATCTATGAATGTAAATACATTTGCAGTCAGAAATCCACATCTGGCACAGCCACGTGGGTATGAGGCTTGCATGCAAGAGAATGCCAAGGTTTGGACTGAACTGAGCTAATTTAACAAATCCTCAAAGGCCGTGGATTACAGTCTACAGAACTTGTATAAGCACCAGGACGTTTGCTGACTTGAAATTGCAGTTTCAGGAATGCTCAGTCCTTTTCAAACTTACACAAGCAACTTTGATAAGAAATTTTAATTTGGTAACTAACAGCTTTTTGCTATTTGTTTCTGGCAATGATCCCCTGGAAGGATTAAGACAGTGAGAGAGAAGAAGGCCTTGCACAGAATGCATTAGGTGAAATCAAGGGCTTTTTATAATGATAAATTTTCTCATTTTCTAAGATAATCACACATAAATTGTATTTCCCATTTCACGTGAGAAAAGAATTGGTAATGCTTGTAGCTTCTGTGCACTATAGTGAATTTCAGGAATGTTCACATTCTGCCTCCAATATCCAACACTGAATATTAATTCTTTACTTTTCCAGGCTCTCAAATTCTAACCAGCCCTACATAAGCAGCTCTGTTGGACATTTGGTTGTTGCCCCCAGATAAAACACTGGTGTGAAGTGTGAGTTTGTAGGTGTACATCTAGTGTAAATGTTAGCTCTTGAACCCAACATAATCCTTTAGCCAATGTTGTGTTTGGAACTGTAATTTTCCATTTCTTCCTGACAGGATTTCCCCATGAATAGGGGAATCCTCTGGGTCTCTTTCTCATGCTGAAGTGATGCACTATTTGCTAGCCCATGTTTGGCTCCCCAAAAATATAAGAATATGTTCAATCTGTCACTTATATGTATTTTGGCATGTTAAGCTCTCTTTCTCCCTCTTGACTGGTCTCATACTCATGCATTTTGGAGCTAATGAAAGTTTGTGCCATATGACTTAAAACTTTGGATGTCACAGCATGCCTCAAAAGCTAAATGTCGTGCCACAAATAGCTGTACACGTAAAATTTGCAGATATATTCTGAGAGAGCATGAAAGTTTTTGCCATTAGAAACCTAAAGCCTATCTGAATTAACCACTTAGTGAAAAATACCAGTACTGATACTTTAAGCCAATCACCAAATAATTTGATTTAGGAAATAAAAACATAGAATATAATTAAAATGAGAAGATTACAGTACTGAATTACAGTTTTGGCAGAAGTTAATATCCTGACTCCACAGCAAAACTGAATGGCTTTATAAAGCAGATTGTCCAATAAAAATAGTTATTTAGAAAGGCAGAGATTGGTCATAGGAAACAAAACAAAAAAATTCATATTCCACACTTGCGATGTTCTTGTTACATAAATGAAAAGATGGTAAATTTAGATTGTGTATAAGAAAGAATTATTTTACAATAAGGGTGGTGAAACACTGAAAATATTGCCCAGAGAAGCTGTGGATACCCCATCCCTGGAGCTGTTCAAGGCCAGGTTGGGTGGGGCTTTGAGCAACTGATGCAGTGGAAGATGTCCCTGCACATGGCTGGTGGGTTGGTCTAGATGATCCTTGAAGGTCCCTTCTGACCCAAAACATTCTATGAGTCTATGATTTCTGTATCATTTTCTGTTTCTTTCCTGGTCAGTGGCTGGCTGTTTCTTCCACAAGGCTCTGCTCATGAGAGCCCAAGTGCAAACCTGATGAAACACAGCACCTGAACTCATGGTTTTTTGCCTGGATATCCTACCAACAAGCATGACCAGAAAGAAGATTGTTTGGCTTCCAGAATCCAAGGCTGGAATTCAGTGTGACAGACACTTTGCTGGCAGCAGAAGGAAAACCAGTTATTTAACCTTATTTTGAGACCTATTCAGTTCTTTTCCTTCTATATTTCCAGTGTCATCAATAACCAGTACACCTAAAAGTTATCAGATGAAGTGATTCAGAGTGTTAGGAAGCCAATACCACTTTTTAAATTCTTAAAATGGATTTTCAAAATTTCATGGAATCCTTTTGAAAAAAAACATAGTTACTCTGTTCAACTTGAAAACCACAAGAATACAGGTTGATGAAAAGCGGCTTTGAAACAATTTATACTAACATTTTAATGAAAAATACCATTGAAAAATCAGAAGACAAGTGACTCCTCCCAGCTGTCATTAAGGGCTTTTTAAGATGCCCAGTTGTGGTGAAGGACAGCAGTCATCTTTTTAAGACAGATAAGCGAGGATCTGAGCAAGGCAATTCATTTCACATAACAGATTAACGCCTGGTATCACATAGCAGCAGGTCTGGGGAGATGTTTGTCAGGGGAGGGTTTGAACTTAAGGCTTAGAGGTAAATGCTCCACATTCCAGATGCAGCTTCCTGAACCAGCCTTTCACTGGCTGCTCTCTGGTTTTGAGACTCTGAGACCTCTTTCCACTCCCAACAATTAGCATGTCCAGGTGTTGGCTGTGTTTTGGTTTTCAGCCTGTCTTTCCCCGGCTTTTGTAGGATTTGGTTTTGTGCAGCATAAACTCACCTTGAGCAAGGAATAAAAACCAGCCCTATCATTTAGATAAACAAGAGGTAAATTTTCCACTAAGTGGTAGTGATAGTATTGTACAAGGTGGGCTAGAATCCCTGTACACAGAGGTAATTCTTACCATGTTTGCCTTTGGAAGACTTATTCCTATTTGTTTTGATCTGGAGGTAAAAGTTGGAATTAACTCTCCCTGTGCTGGAGGGTTTGCCTTGAACTTCTCCTGAAGTGAGGTAGCCTGAGATGAAGAAGGATTAAATAAGTTGAAAACTTCACATTAATTTCTGATTTTACACTTCCCCCCTTTTTTTTTAATTATTAAAAATTTTTTATATAATTTTTTTTTCTGTGAGAGAATTTCTTCCTTGTCTGCTTTCTTAGAAAGTATTCCTAACTTCTTCAGGGAGAGTAGATATTCATGGCAAATGTGTATTTTTTTAAAATGTTATATCTGCTTCCAATCTCAAAAATATCCATCTCAAAAAAATTAAAATGTTTAAAAGTAATTATTCTCAACTTTGATTTGATCTTTAATTTGTTTTTCATTGCCTCAGCAGCTGATGATGATCTTTGTACCACACAGAAAGTTTTCAGACCAAACATTGCTCACAGATGTTTAATGGTAATTGCTGAGATGAATGACTCTTATCATCATTTTTGTTTGCATTTAAATTTTTGTTCAGATGTGATTTAATGACAAGATGCTGGTCCCAAGAACCTCACAACAGACCTACTTTCTCTTGTATTCATGACAAACTGCAAGAGATAAGACACTCTCCACTGTCCTTCATCTGCTGCCCTGAAAACAGAGAGGCATCAGCTGGAGTCATCAATGAAGCTTTTGAAGGTGAGTCTGGGCCAGCACCTGCTATTCTTGTGGCCTCTGCCCTATAAGCAAAGTGCTTTTCCTTGCATTTGTCACTGCCTCAAATCCTCTGTCTGTTACATGGAAACAGCAAAGATTTATTTCTGTCATACTGAACTTGTAAAGGTTCATTCTGTGCCTGGGAGCTACAACGAATTAGATGAAGGATGTACAAGATTAGCTAGCAAAAGGCCCAGATGAGGCTGAGTAATTAAGCCTGACTCACGGAGACATCCAATTCGCACCTGAATTCTTAGTATTTCACAACACTGTTCCTCTAAAATAGATGCCTAAGTTCCTTGCAGAGCAAGGAGAGTCTTAGAAATCTTCCATGTGGAAATCTGTCAAAATTTCAAAGACATCAATGTCCTCTCCATGAGCTAAACATGGCCATTAGGCACCTCCTGTAGGAGTACTGGCTCAGCAGCCACCTGCAAGTGAGGCATCATTTAGGCACCCCAGTAAGGCAGCCTCTATCCAAGCCCAAGCCCCGATCGATTCAGGTCTTGCCAATGCTCTGCGCGCTGTGAACAAATAAACTAAGTGATGTTAGGGAAGACACGCAAAAGATATGGGACACAACACAGCTCAGTTGTATAAGAACATTATTAAGGTTGTGAAGGCAGGGATTAAGAAAAAAGGTAATGCTAAATTTGGAGTTGTCTGTGCAGCTGGGATGTAAATAATCTAAATATGAAAATTGACATCCTGGCTGGGCCTGAATAGTGATCTAGACACATCCTGCGGTAATTCTTGACTAATGAAATATTGAGAAAAATGAACAATATTAGTAAAAATGTGATCTGGATTCTACAAAAAAGAAAGTTTTTATCACTTGAAATATTTCACTTTTATTTCACAGATTATTTTTTTCATTTATTCTGTTTGCATGCTATGGTTTTATAATGAAAATATTGAATGGTAAAATAACTAATTTTTTCAGGTTTAGAAACCTGACTGTTTTTAAAATATCTAAAGATTTTGTGTTTTGGAGGTGATTTTTGTGGTTTTTTTTTTCTTTTCCTTCACAAATTATTACTGAACTAGGAACTGACCCTGATTCACAAACAGTTTTGATACTTCAGTACTTCATGTTTTCCTGAAAACTTTCTGATCCATCCCAGGAATTACACAACCACATAGACATTTTTCTTCAGGATACTATCTATATTCAATTCACTGGCATTGTTCAATTGTCACTTAATTTGATATTTTGTTAATCTTTATCATTTGGTGAAGCTTTACAAATGTCAGTTTATTTCCATTGTGATTTCTCTTTATGTCAAATCCAGTCTGTTCATGGCATGTTTACATTGCAAGACTAAAAATTGTATAAAGACATGAAGAGTCTAGCACAGATAATCTATCATTTCATGTTTTTTAGCAGCTTATTTTGCACTCTTATGCAATAATGAAAAACAATTTGCATATAGTGTAATTCTTTAGTTTCTTTAAGGGTATCTTAGCTCTCAATAATGACATTCAGGAAAGAGATACTCAGTCTGGCACAAATGTAAGCCTGGCATTAGCTCAGGAAAGGACTACAGCCAATTAATTAGGCACTATGCCCAAGCTAATAGGTCTTACATTTTGGATGGACTTTATCTCACCTAAATGCAGCTGTCTACAGGCTAGGAGCCTCATCTAGGATACTCTTCTATGTAGCTCTGCAGTCAGAAGCAGAAAGTGACAGCTCCTGTTTTTTGGGCATGTATCACAGCAGGAAAGGGGTCACCTTTTGCCTTACTCTTCACTGATGGTGGCTGGCATCCAGGTGACTTGCCATATTTAATTTGGTTCACAAAGAATCACAGGGTGGGTGAGACTGGAAGGGACCACTGGAAGTGACATCCCTGCTCCAACATCCCTGCTCAAGCAGGGTCCCCCCAAACACATTACTCAGGATAGTGTCCGAAATACAACATTTCAGTTATAGTATCTCAGACCAGATGTTTCATTTTCAGATGGCTAGAGGAGCACAGCATCCACTGGACACAGGGCTGTACTGATTCCATTGCTTGCACCCACTCCTGAGCTACTTTGGTTTCCTCACTTAGACATCTCTGTGCTCCCTAACTCCACAGGCAACAGAGACATGAAAACTAACAGAGTTAAGAAGTTCTTGTGGCATTACATCAATATCTGTCAAAATCTTTAGCAGGGCTGAAATTTCTGGAGAAACCTACCTTTCTGCTGCTTGGAACTGGGGAAAGGGGCTGGAAGATTGGTTACTGTGTTTGTGGTGGAATAGACCTGGCACAGATGTAACATGAATGAGTTTCAGTTTCAGAGCAAGTCTCTGCTTAGCATGTGTCAGATAAGCCTGATCTTTCTCCAGCCGTTAACTTGCTCAATCTAAGCTAATAATTACTTTCACTGGGATGACAAATACACATTCTTAATGTAAGAAACATTATTTTGCCAAAATTTCAGGTTCTGCCACACAGCAGAGGTCCTAGAAAAAAGACCATTGTTTTGTTTATTTGCCAGGAGCAAAAGATGCATTCTTAGAAATTACTAAGTTGCAAAGGAAAACATGGATTGAGGCTTCCATAAAAGTGTCAGTTTGAAGGACAAAAATTTGAAAAAAATCAGTTTAGTGCAGAAAATATGGTCGTATATGGTCATGGACTTTAAGGGTGGTTTTAATAATAGCTCTGTACTCCGTAACGTAATTTCAGTCAGAGAATCTGTTCACAGCAGTCACTTTTAAAATCAGACTCCATTAAACCCTGCTTATAACTCCTTGGTTGGTAAAATCTGGCCCACTGTGGTAAGCAGGGCAATTCAGAGTAGGCAGAGCTTTGGCTGTCAGAACTTCTACTTGGCACACTCTCTTCCTGAGCCTTGGACCTTTCCCCACCAGCTGTCATGTTCCCTCTTCTGGTTTCCTCTCATTCTCCCCTTTCCATAGGTTCTGCCCAGCTGCAGCTGGTCAGTTGCCACAGACCCATTGCTGGATCTGCATTGGGAGGAGAAGACAGAGCAACTGTTTTCATGCTCCCATTCAATGTTTTCATGCTTCAGTTCTCAAAAGTCCTTCTTAACTTCTCCTCAGGTTCATTTGGTGATTCTCATATAGGAAATACCCTTCAGGAAACAGGGTAGCTTGAATTTTATTCATCTGCATATCATCCTTCCATTTAAATGTATTTTAAAAGACTAAACAATTGACAAGCCCTTTACATGTAAAATGCCATACTTATTTTCCTGTATATTTATAATTCACCTGTAGGTTGTCTCCCTCTTTGCCCAAGCACAGTCTTAATAAGCCCATTAAAATGTTATGCTGTTTACTTGATTGAAGCTCTAGATTCCTCGTGATGTCTTATTGTTGCTGGATTTTCTGATCAAGGACACATGCATGTCAATTTTCTATAGCTCTCCAGCCTTGAATTAATTTTCTGCCTTTTTCTGCCTGCCATGTAAATCTCATGTGGTGGAATTCAGTAAGACGTGGACTCCAGAAGTGAGATTGATTTAAGCAAAAAAAGGCCATTCAGGTTCTACTTGAGTTTCCAGACTAAAATGTGTGCTCCACTATGACCCTGTCAAAAACAGTTTGGGGCATGGAATATGTCTCAGACTGTAAATTGTAACACATTGTATAATAAGTTAGTGATTTTTAAAATTTGTATTCATTTCTAGCTGGGACTAAGTAAAGTATTTCTTGTGTTCACAGTAGTAGTAGTAGAAAGATGACAACCAAAACAAATAGTCCAAAAGTCTGTTCCATGATGGATTGTTCTCAACAATATTTTCCAAAAATGCTACACGGTCATTGGCCTTTGTGTGTAATGAAACTCCAGCCAGGAGCCTCCAGCCAAGAAATGCTTGCTCTCACCAGGTGACCTAGTTTCAAAAGAAAGAGTCAAATGTCAAGCAAAGTGAAATTACATGCCTCAAAATAGCTAAGATACTTAGCCTTACAGAGAATCATACGTCTTCCAAATTCTGTTGAGTCTTACCTACCCATGGGTAGCCACACTTCTAGCAGGTCCCTGCATGCTGTTGGTGATTTTCATATGTGGGAGAGCTGAAAAACTTTAGATTTTCCCCATAACCTTAATGCCAGTGCGGTATGACACAGAGATGGCAAGTGTGGGTAAACCAATACAGACAGGCTGCTAGTGGACAGCATGCTAGCAGGGTAGCATGGGGATGGCAAAAGCAGCACATGCTGTGTTATTGCAAGAGTTACCCTTCTAAAGCAGGCATCAAGTGTCAATAAACACGCCTGAGCAATACCAGCACCTCCTGGCGCTGCTGCATTGGAAGGGAGGGAAGTAAACTTGGGACCAGGACCTGCCAGTTTAGAGTTTTTCCTTCTTGCTCTGACAGGCTTTCCCGAGACATTGATTTTGGGTTTAAAGTAGCAGTAACAATATTTATTTGAGTGAGGGCAGCACTATCGAGCCAGAGGACTGAGACACCAGTGGGTTTTGAATTCAATGGGAATTTCCTGAGCCCAGGCCCTGTCACCAGAGTTCCTGCTCATTGCTGAAAGTTAGTCCATTCTTCCCCCAGTTCCAAGAAGGGCAGCATGCTAGAAGGATGGCCCTGCATTGCTGTAAAAATAACTGGACCATCTATTTTCAGACGTCAGTTTTTACATTTGCACATATAAGACAGCACTATAGTTTTTCAGGTCCCGTGAATGCCCCCTTACAGATGGAAACACCTGTTTGATTTGGCAAACGCCTTTCCTGACATCAGACAACTGGGCATTAAGCAGCTGGAGAGACTTCTTGCCTTTATGACCTAGAAGGACTATTCTTATCAGGGCTACTCCTCACAGTGCCTTTTGGACCTATATGGAAAAGATGTCCAATTGGTCAGAAAAAGAAGCTCCTCTGGCAAGAGATGATACCAGGCAGTTGGAGAAAATCCAGGGTAAAAGACAAAAAACTGAAAGGAAACATATTTGGCTTCAAAACCTTAGTTTTAAAATTCCTAAACTGGAGATATTGCTTGAAAAATGTGGCAAGACACAAGAGTTAGAATATAATAATGTTTCTTTTTTTCATTTTTCTTTCCAAAGTCAGTGTATTTATTTCTTCAGCAGTTCAGGTACTTGCTAAAATTGTCATTTGTATATTTTTTTTAATTTCTGTGCAATATTTTGCACTGAGAGGGCTTGATATTAAAGCTAGAATCAGCGATTTCATAATTAATTATATGTGTGCACTCTGTGCTGGCTGAGTACCTGTTTTCTGTTTCCCATGCAAGAGTAATCAGTTTATTTTCCTAAACTCAAACAACTACTTTTAAAAACTACTCCACACACCTCTCTGAATGTAAATAAATCACTTGGGCAAATGGAAGCTTCTCTAAAGCAGATGTGTTGATAAGCAACATTTTTAGAACCTTGTATCTAGTCTCCTTTGTATTTTTCTGAAATTCAGTAATCCTCTTCCCCACTTAGCTTAGTGAGTGGCTGACCCAAAACCTGCAGAGGTCAGAGAAAAGGCTGCTTCCAAAAAAGAGTGAGTGGCTATGACAATGCAAGAAAAGGGGAACTTGGTGGTGTAATCATTTCTTATTTGTGCTCCAGACAAATGGTGTTTGATTCCAGAGGGTGCACATGAGCCTTATGAGGCTGCAAGTGAAGTTATGCCAATACTTTACCATAGACCAAAGGAAAAATCAGATGGTGTAAGACTGTAAGAGCTGACATTTGTGTAGGCAGATGTGGATAGATATAGGCAACTAAAACATAAAAACTGCATTTGCACTGGGTGTCTAGGCTGTTTGACAGTCACCAGAGACTTGTAGGCATGCTCAGGGGATGTTAATGTGTAAAGGCAAGGATGTGGATTAAGCATCTCCACAAAGTGATTCATTCCTCCTTTCTCTGTTGACTGTAAAGACAGCTTAGGCAAGGAGCTTAAATTGGGCATGTAAGACCTGAGTGGTTAAAACTTGGTAAAATGAATTGTGTTTCATAACCTGGAGAAAGGGAGTGCTTTCCTATTTCTATAGTCCAGCAAATGTGAAACTAGGGTTTTTTTTTAATGCATTTCTATTATAAATTTTAATAAACTAGGTAAGGAGCAGGTTTATATCTGTAATTACTAGGACACAGATTTCAGTACAGAGTTCTCTAAAAAATACATTAAAATAAAAAGAAAGTCACTGCTTCAAGCAGATTAGTGCAGGGGAAAGGCAGGTTGAACAAAATTCTCACTTTTAACACCTTTAGTGTCTGACAGAATAGCAAAGCTCAGTGAGTCACCCTCAAACCATGCAAGATCATATGCTTCATTAGGCAGGAAACACAGATATATCTCCACTGATATATAATACAGAGTGGAGTATTAAAACGGATATATATTTGTTCTATTTATATTCTTACTGGCTATGTGCAGAAACTGAAACACAGCTCCTCCAGCTCCAGGTGGCCATCAGGTATCAGAAAAATACTCTCTACACAGGAGTTGTCTCCTTGAGCTAACCAACATGGCTGAGGTGAAGAAGTCAAGGTTCAATAGCCACTGTTTTCACCCTTAACAAAGATATGTCATCAGGTGTTTCTCTTGAATGTGTTTCCTGGGGGGTATATCTTTCATCCATGCCAGTAAGTCAGCCAGTCTCTTGTTTACTGCCACATACATTGTGTAGCAGTGACAAAGGACAGAGTATGTACCAGAAAAAGAGGAGGGTATTACTGAGAAACAGGAAATGTGGCTGGACTTCTAAATACCTTACCATACTGAAGGTGCTAAGCATCATATGGGATTATGTCACCCGGAATTAGTAACGTCTCAGGCTGGCTACTTAGCTGGTGTAAATTGGTGACACCCCACTGGTTTCAATGGAACTTCATTAATTTATGCTAGCTGAGGGTCTGGCCCTGAAATAGCTGTAATATAAGATCAGCATCTCTAGATCAGTTTATTCAGTCTCAACCAATCAGCTTTTCTACTGACATTCTTTCTCTTCTTAAATGTTGTCACCTTCTGGAATTTAAACACCAAAACCCTCTCGTCTGCTTATCAAGACATCACAAAAATTTGCACCCTTCCAGGCAGGACTTCAAAACATGTTGTGAGCCCCCAGAGTTTACCAAGCAGGCAAGGACAGGCACTCTGCGATTGTGAGGCAGGACCCACGGCTCGGCTCGGCACGGCGGCTGCCCTGTGACGGGAAGCAGCCAGCCGAGGTTCTGGGATGGGGAAGGGGAAAGCACAGATTTTATCAGGTCAGGGCTGGTCTTCTCAGAGGAGGCTAAGCAAGCAAACTCTATTTCTCTATAGTATGAGTCAGGCGATCGTTGTTTCGTGTGTCAATTTACGTGGGGCTCTCCAGAGTAAGCTTCTGCCTATCCCTGGAGAGAGGTTGTTGTAATTAGTTTACCTGCAGTTTGGCTCACATGTGCTTTATGCACAAGTTCTAAGCACAGGTTTTAAGCTTTAAGCCTGGCTCTACTAGGAAAAGCATCCAGCAAGGTCAAAGCCACATGCATTTAGGACCTGAGACGTGTCTATGCAAGTACAATGCTGAGTTTTGAACTTGCCATTTTAGCTGTAGGAAGCAGCCTGGGATAGCACAGAGCTCAGTGGAATCCTGCTTCTCAGTGGGGTACTTCTCAGCCTGTACAAAGCTCAGGACTGACAGAGCAAGACTGCCTCGTGCCCTGAGGTTGGTTGTTTAAAGCAAATCTGGGTAACTCTACACTATGCAGCAGTTTGCAGTGTAGACAACCCCTCAGAATTCAAGTCTGCCGAGCTGACTCTCCGGCTTGACTTCAGATTTCATGAAGGTGCTCCTTGGACGTCTCCTCTTGGTGTGTTTTGTTGACTCAGCCCAGCTTTGCTTGTGAAATCTGAGGGGATCACATCACATGGTTTATCCTGCATTTACTCACGTATAACCCAGCATGACTGTACATCAATCAACTAATTTTAGCGATGTTAAAACTGAAAAGAAAATAGTGATATCTTATAAATATACTGACCTGCCTCTCCACTCCAGTTTCTCTCTATCTTCCTTCAATTTCTTAACATTTTTTGGGAGGGCCTTCCAAAGGTTATTCAGAATTCTCTGAACTGACTTATGGCTTCCCAGGGTGCTGGTGGTGCTTCTAGTCCTCACATTTCTGGGGGAATTTCACAACATATCATGAATTTTTTCTTCAATCACTCATTTTTAGTATTTTGTGTCTCCATCCATTCTTCTGCTCCAACTAAATGAGCAAAAATAATTTACTTGCTTTGTTGACTTACATAACAATCAAGCATTGTACTACATAACTTGAGATCTTTGTGTAGCTTTGCCTTGTACAGCAGAATGGTGCTAAACTTTCATCAGTGCTGAACACTGCACTGAGATGACTCAACAGTGACGGAAAGGGCGCTTACAGTCAAAAATGTCACAGTCAAAGTGGAAATGTATCTTACACATGTCATGTCATAAGAGAAAGGTCATCAATATTATATTCTTCCTCCATCATTGGATATGATAAGAATATTCTGCAAAAATAGTATTTCTTCCTTATTGCATTCCCATAGCTCAAAAAGTAAAACCAAGGCAAGGTGTCTGATTTTTTAGCTCTTTTTTTCTGTAATGAGAAACACAGTGGCGCATAAGCTGAAAAAGGATTATAAAATTTTATATATTCTCTAGTTCTTCAGACCTGTTGGGGAAAGAATTAGTAATGTATCTATATATCTGGTAAAAATATCTCAGTGACCTCATACTCACATTTGTGTAAACATCACCTCATCAGTTCCAGATACTTATACAGGAAACAAATCTGAATGCTCCTCTAGTGTTCTATACTTAGGCAGGTCAGCCGGCATATGTCTGGTCTGTAAATACCCAGTTTTACTTGGGTCCTTATTTTAAGGTTTCCCTCTTAAGAGTTTGCTGCAAATGTTCCCTCAGCATTTGCCTGTGTGTCTTTTCCAAAGCAACTTGTCCCTGAATGTTGTCATTAAATGAAACAAAAAAACAATTACAAAAAAGCGCTGAACTGGTTAGTAAAGGCTTAGTTGGAACTGAATTACTAAATATGGCCATAATAGCCCTGAACTGACAAAGTGAGTATCAAATGATTTCTCATTGCTGTCAGACTCTGTGGTATGTGACCACAGTTTGCTCTGTGTCCCAAACCCCACCTTGCTAACCGGTTTCTAAAATCAAAATTCTCTTTCAGGCTTTTCCTGATAATATTTCCTATGCTAATGGGCTCTAGCATGTGGAACAAATTTCTGACTTTATAGCTTGGGGAGATGTGTGATTATAGTGACATAATAAATTTTGTATTGCCTGGTGGAATGGCACATTGCTTGTGATTCCTTTGAACAGATAACCCTGAATGTCACATGCTTAATTTTTCTGTTATGAAGTAAAATAAGGAGGGAGTGTAATAAAAGAAGTTACGCATTACAAAAATAAATGCAAAAAATAGTAGCAGTTACAGCTTGAGCCCTTAGTTAACAATTTTTTTATTTTTAAAAATTTATATTCCCTGCAATAAATTTCAAGCAACAATGTATAGATAAGCTGCATCAAATTAAGGAAAAATGGAAAGCTTTTTAAAACATGAAAAACACAGTGAATTGCCAAGTTTTAGCTTCTGGAAGAGCAGAATACTAGAGAGACAGAAGTCTAGACTAGTCCTCTAGAGAGAGAGTATATAATGATTTTGTAGATAGAAAACTGCCAATGTTACAGAACTGTTTAGCAGTATTATTAGCAGGGTTACTACAGAGGTTCAGATTTAAAATCACTTTTGCTTTATGCTTCTTTAGAAGAGAAAGAAGCAAGTCCTGCATTCATGACAGTATTGCTGCCTCTGGAGGTATGAACACTGATAAGCAGCCTTTCCCAAGTGATTTACCTAAAGTTCTGGTCCACACAGATAATAGGAGAAAATAAAATTGAATCATCATTCTTATGAGGTCACTAGATCAACTTTCTCCAGCAGCTGTCTAGTTTTGTTTGCTTTCTAATACTACATGTATATTACTGGGTTGTTGTATTTTCTTTTTTCTTTTTTCTTTTTTTTTTTTTTAATGTTTCCCTTTTGTTTTCTTTTCTCTTTCTTTTTTTTCTTTTAATGCAGATAATGATATCCCACGTGCAGATTCAGACAGCATTCTTTCAGCCACACTAATGGAAACAAGGAATCAAGAGGGCTTAAATTATTTGGTACTAGTTAAAGAAGTCAACCCAGATGAAGAAAGCATCAATTCTGCTGAAATTAGTTAAGTCTGGTTACCACTGCTTAAGAGACTGAAGGAAGAGAAAAAATTCTTCAAAGAAGACATAGGCCAAGGAATATATTCTGCATGTCATCATACTTACAGGGGTGTCTGAAAAAAAACCAAACCCAAAAAAATTCTTTAATAAAACTAGCAGAAAACATAATAAGGCGTTGAATGGTGTGTATCAGCATACGACAGCGATTACATAGCCTTTGATTTTCTACTTGTCATGGTTTGGGTGCTTCACAGGAGATAGTTTAAAGCACAAAAACTTGTATCAGACAGTAAAGGATTTTACTGTGGTAAGTTTATGCACTCACACGTGCCTCAGCCACAAGGCAGTCCTTCCAAAAAGGGAGTACTGGTATGCTGCTTTAAAGAACAGACCACTTATTTGTGAATAAAACCAAACAGTTGAAGTCTAGCTTCACTGTGCACAAACAGGATTTTGCAAACTGAAAAAAACAACAAAAATATCAAACTCCAAATCAGAAATCAGCTGAAGAAGGGTGACCAGGTTGTCCGCTGCTGCAGGTGGTCTGTTTCCCTAATTAATTTAAACAAATGTTTGTAATCATCTTGCATATTAAGTTGCATAGCAATCTGACAGTCTGGACAGTCCTGTTTTCTTACATTTCTTGTCCTTTCCTTTTTGAATGTTCATCATCCTTGTTTATTTTTTATCATACTGGGTAAAAGGAGGTAATCTTCCTTGGAGTGTTTGGAGATCAACTCAAAGTATATAATAAAATTTCATACAAGTAGTCACTGAATAAAAGTCAGCAATAAGCTTTTTCTAACCTTTCATCATGAGCAGTAGTTTGCAAATTATACAGAGCTATTCACTGACATATTTCAGGAAGCTAAAAACATGCTATAATTTTATGCAAATATTTTATAATGGGGCACACTGGAGAGTAGTAAAGGTTCCATCTGATGTCAGAATGTGTATATTTGTAAGAAGCAACTTCACTGCAATCAAACTTCAAAAGTTTCTTAAACGGAGACTCAACACAAATGAAAAAAATTTTGGAGTCTCAACATTTTACTGAAATGAAATAGAAATTCCTAATTTTGAATTAGGATTCTTCAAAGTCCCTGAAAAAGCTCTTTCAAGAATTATATAAATATTTTTCTTCATCTACAAATTAGTGTAAAAGACAGATTTGCTAATAAATACAACTTCAGCACTTCGCTATGCTCACCAGACCGTGAGCAATGGATAAACAAATAAATACTGTATTATGTTTCCTTCCTCTTTGAGTGCTGCTTGATTGGTTGTACAGTGATTCCTTCCATTTCAGTAATTTAAAAATTACTAATGTTTGCTAACCTATGGCATGTGCTGGCCAGAAACCAGGAGGATCCCTTTTCTGTAGCCACCACGCCTGAATGTGTTCTGAGTGCATAGCTTAAGTCAGGAAGACTGCTCCGTCAGCAAGCCACAGACAAAGGTTTTGAACAACAGGACTCCATACAATAGCTTTTTCTTTAGCAGGAGAAATCTTCAATCCTCCCAAAATTTTGTCAAGACAATACCATTGACAGGCCTCATGAGCACCTGTGATGTGATATCCCAAGTCAATTCGGTTTTGTGTAGGTCTGCATTAAAAAAGAATTATGGAAGAGCCTAACCAACATGTGTAAACTGGGTTGGTGGGAAAGATGAGCATCAGGGACAGACAGCAGTCAGGAGTAATGCCCTCCAGGTCTTGAAGCAGTCACAAATACACAAAAGAGTACAGAAGGAAAAAGGGGAAGGTAATTCTTGTTATGCTCACATTTTGCTAGTGTTGCAGGGCAAACCTAGTTTTAATGAAAAAAATTAGCACAACAGGGTGAGAAAGAAGTGTCAAGTTTAATATGCTGCCAATAAATGCAATCTTAGAATATTGACCAGCTATCTATGCCTTTTGTACGTGTTCACATTTTGCTAGTGTTGCAAGGCAAACCTAGTTTTAATGAAAAAATTAGCACAGCAGGGTGGGAAAGAAGTGTCAAGTTTAATATGCTGCCAATAAATGCAATCTTAGAATATTGACCAGCTATCTATGCCTTTTGTACCTGATAGTATGAAAAATGTTTTGGACAGGATAAAAAATTAACTTGTTGATCCAAATTTCAGGTGAATTCACTTGTTGAATTCAGTGGAAGACACAATACCTACCCTTCCCAGTAGCTGCAGTCATCTGAGTCATGCTCAGTGATACAGTGTGAGCTCTGAGCATGGCCCTACCCATACACTGGCCAAAACTCTATTGTCCCTCACTCCTTTTCCTGCCTTAGAGAAGTAAGCATGCAAATGCAACTATTCCATTGAGTTATGGTAAAGCTGAATTTGATGCAGGCAAACTTAGCCTCCACCCATGCATCCACCAATGATTCTACTTGAAGAGAGTTTCTTAATCCCTCATACTTCTGTTTCACCCTTCTCCTAACACATCTTCATGATTTTACCTTCTCTGTATTATTGAGGTGTTGCTTCCTCTCCTCATTCAGACTCTTCTTGATTATTCATGTATTTCTCAGCAACACTTAGTCACTATCAGGAGGTCACTGCTTGCCTTCCAGCAGACAGGTCTGATGGCAGTTTTCATGCTGCTTTTTTTGCCAGAGTAGGAATGAAAGACCGCTTAAACACATTCTCTCTTGGGCAGGGAAATGGGTACTATCTGGCCTGTGTTAGCCTCTAGTTTTTACCTCCTCCTATCACAGGTCAAGTGAAAGAGTAAAAAAACCTTTGAGTTCAAATGTCTTGACTTGCTTGGCTACAGATTTTAAATAAGTATAGATGGATTTAAAGATGCTAACATCATTTAAAGGAAAGGGTGGTATAAGACATGTGGACCCAGTTTTCAGCTGCTGTAAATCAGGTTAGATATGTTAA